ATAAAAATATCATAGTATAGTAAGGCATAAAAAGTCATAAAAACGTTATAGTATAGTAAGCCATATATCCACCCTATTATAGTGAGGCCTAAAATGTCATAAAAAAATCATAGTATGGTATGGCATGAAAAGTCATAAAAACGTCATAGTATAGTAAGGAATAAAAAGTCATAAAAACGTCATAGTATAGTAAGGCATAAAAAGTCATAAAAACGTCATAGTATAGTAAGGCATACATCCATCCTGGTATAGTGAGGCCTAAAAAGTCATAAAAACGTCAAAGTATAGTAAGGCATAAAACGTCATAAAAACGTCATAGTATAGTAAGGCATAAAAAGTCATAAAAACGTCATAGTATAATAAGGTATAAAAAGTCATAAAAACGTCATAGTATAATAAGGTATAAAAAGTCATAAAAACGTCATAGTATAATAAGGTATAAAAAGTCATAAAAACGTCATAGTATAATAAGGTATAAAAAGTCATAAAAACGTCATAGTATAATAAGGTATAAAAAGTCATAAAAACGTCATAGTATAATAAGGTATAAAAAGTCATAAAAACGTCATAGTATAATAAGGTATAAAAAGTCATAAAAACGTCATAGTATAATAAGGTATAAAAAGTCATAAAAACGTCATAGTATAATAAGGTATAAAAAGTCATAAAAACGTCATAGTACAGTAAGGCATAAAAAGTCATAAAAACGTCGTAGTATGGTATGGCATGAAAAGTTATAAAAACGTCCTAGTATAGTAAAGCATAAAAAGTCATAAAAACGTCATACTATAGTAACGCATGAAAAGTCATAAAAACGTCGTAGTATGGTATGGTATGAAAAGTTATAAAAACGTCCTAGTATAGTAAAGCATAAAAAGGCATAAAAACGTCATACTATAGTAACGCATGAAAAGTCATAAAAACGTCGTAGTATGGTATGGTATGAAAAGTTATAAAAACGTCCTAGTATAGTAAAGCATAAAAAGGCATAAAACCGTCATAGTATAGTAAGGCATGAATCCATCCTAGTATAGTGAGGCCTAAAAAGTCATAAAAACTTCATAGTATGGTATGGCATGAAAAGTCAGAAAAGCATCATAGTATTGTAAGGAAGAAAATGTCATGGTATAGTAAGGCATGAAAAGTCATAAAAACACCATAGTACAGTAAGGCATGAAAAGTCATAAAAACGTCATAGTATAGTAAGGCATGAAAAGTCATAAAAACGTCATAGTATAGTAAGGCATAAAAAGTCATAAAAACGTCGTAGTATAGTAAGGCACGAAAAGTCATTAAAACAACTTAGTATAGTAAGGCAGAAAACCGTCCTAGTTTATTGAGGCATAAAAAGTCATAAAAACGTCATAGTATGGTATGGTATGAAAAGTCACAAAAGCATCATAGTATTGTAAGGAATAAAATGTCATAGTATAGTTTGGCATAAAACGTCACAGTGTAGTAAGGCATAAAAAGTCACAAAAATGTCATAGTATAGTAAGGCATATATCCGTCCTAGTATAATGAGGCCTAAAAAGTCATAAACACTTCATAGTATAGTAAGGCATAAAAAGTCATAAAAACATCATAGTATAGTCAGGCATAAAAGGGCTTAAAAACGTCATAGTATAGTCAGGCATAAAAGGGCTTAAAAACGTCATAGTATAGAAAGGCATAAAACGTCGTAGTATAGTAAGGCATGAAAAGTCATTAAAACTACTTAGTATAGTAAGGCATAAAACCGTCCTAGTTTGTTGAGGCCTAAAAGGGCATAAAAATGTCTTAGTAGAGTTAGGCATAAAAAGTCACAAAAAATAGCATAGTAAGGCATGAAAAGTTATAAAAACAACATAGTATAGTATGGCATAAAACGCTCTAGTATAGTAAGGCATGAAAAGTCATAAAAACGACATAGTATAGTAAGGCATAAAACGTCATAAAAACATCATTGTATATTAAGGCATAAAAAGTCATTAAAAGGTCATAGTACAGTGAGGCCTAAAAAGGCATAAAAACCTCATAGTATAGTAAGGTCTAAAAAGGGATAAAATAGTCATAGTATAGTCAGTCATTAAAAGTCATAAAAACTTCATAATATAGTAAGGCATGAAAAGTCATAAAAATGAATCTGTTCTGGTCTAATGAGGTATAAAAAGTCACAAAAACATCATAGTACATTAAGGTTAAAAAGGCATAAAATAGTCATATTATAGAAAGGCATAAAAAAGTCATAAAAACGTCATAGCATAGTAAGGCATAAATATGTGCTTGTATAATGAGGCCTAAAAAGTCATAAAAAGGTCAGGGATAAAAAGTCATGAAAACGACATAGTATAGTAATGCATAAAAAGTCATAAAAACATCACAGTATAGTAAGGCTTAAAAAGGCATAAATTAGTCATAGTATAGTATGGCATCAAACGTCAGCGTATAGTAAGGCATGAAAAGTCATAAAAACGTCAGTATAGTAAGGCAAAAACAGTCATAAAAAGGTAATAGTATATTGAGGACTAAAAAGTCATAAAAACATCATTGTACAGTAAGGTATAAAAAGGCATATTATAGTAAGGCATGAATCTGCCCTAGTATAGTGAGGCCTAAAAATTCATAAAAATGTCATAGTATAGTCAGGCCTAAAAAGTCAAAAACGTCTTAGTATAGTAAGGCATAAAAAGTCCGAAAAAGGTCATACTATATTGAGGTATAAAAAGGCATAAAACCGTCATAGTATAGTGAGGCCTAAAAGGTCATGAAAATGTCATAGTATATTTACGCATAAAAAGGAATAAAATCGTCATAGTGTAGTAAGGAATAAAATGTCTTAGTATAGTAAGGCATGAATCCGTCCTAGTATAGTGAGGCCTAAAACTTATAAAAACGTCATAGTATATAGTAAGGCATAAAAAGTCACAAAAAACGTCATAGTAAGGCATGAATCCATCCTAGTATAGTGAAGCCTAAAAAGTAATAAAAACATCATAGTATAGTAAGGCATAAAAAGTCATAAACTTGTCATAGATAGTATAGCATAAAACATCATATTATAGTAAGGAATGAAAATTCATAGAAAAGTCATAGTATAGTAAGGCATAAAAAGTCATAAAAATTACATAGTATAACATAAAACCTTCCTAGTTTAGTGAGGCCTGAAAGGGCATAACAATGTCATAGTATAGCAAGGCATAAAAAGTCATAAAAACAACATGGTATAGTATGGCATATAACGTCATAGTATAGTAAGACATAAAAGGTCATAAAAACGACATAGTATAGTAAGGCATAAAAAAGTCATAAAAATGTCATAGAATAGTCAGGCATAAAATGTCATAAAAACAACATTATAGTATGGCATAGCATGTCATAATATAGGTAAGAATGAAAAGGCATAAAAACGTCATAGTATAGTAAGGAGTAAAAAGTCATAAAACACGTCATAGCATATTGGGCATTAAAAGGGATAAAAACAACATAGTGTAGTAAGGCATAAAAACGTCATAGTATAGTAAGGAGTAAAAAGTCATAAAACACGTCATAGCATATTGGGCATTAAAAGGGATAAAAACAACATAGTGTAGTAAGGCACAAAAATTACCTAGTACAGTCAGGTATAAAAGTGATAAAAAGGACATTACAGTAAGGCATAAAAACATTGTTGTATAGGAAGGCATAAAAAGTCATAAAAACGTCATAGAATAGTTAGGCATAAAGTCCACACATAAAGGTCCCAGGCCCGGGGTTTGAAACCCAGAACCTTCTCACTGTGAGATGACAGTTCTAATCACTGGATCAGATCACCGTGCCGTCCCATAAACTAATCATAGTAAAGTAATGCATGACAACATCATAGTATAGTAAGGCATAAGAAATGTCATAGTATTCATGGTGACATTTTCATGGGATTTTCAACAGAAATTAAGCTCATAATTTGATATATCCACCATTTTATGTTAGCCTCCTGCTAGCCTACAGAAGAAATAATCCAGGTTTAGCTTGCTAGTTAACGCTAGCTAACATGGTTAAATAACATCAGACATTTTTCTTGTGACGTTAGGTACGACTGTGATATTCTCACATGATGTGAGCCTTGAGATAGCCCCCACCCTTTAAGTCAATCAAATGCTAGCGTGCCTAAATTATCTAATATAACTTCACTCCAAACATAGTGCAAAGGAGTTCACTCAAATATTGGAAGGGACAATTCTGTCCTCCCAAAATATTGGTAGAGATATGTTCCTACCGCCCTTGACATAAAGTAAAACTAAAAATATGTTTTTTGCAGAGTAACTTCCTTTTTAGGAAGCCTTGGCATTGACTCACCCCCCCAGGGCAAGTGTCCTCTCTGCTGATGATGTATTAGAGATCCTAGTGCTAAATTCAAAATATTCAAAACAAAACCTGTAGAATCGACTGTGGAAAACAGCATTATGCATTACAGCATCTAGTCTGGCTCTTAGTTTACTGGCAAGTGATCTTTTGCCCCGCTACTTAATTACTGTGCATCTTGGGGTGTTTAATTATGCAAGCTTTGGTTTGCAGTCTGTTGTTGTCTCTTGGCTATAATTGATCTGCTGTGGTGCTGAGTGCAGTGTGGTGCAAGCATAATGGACACAGTCCAATTCCAACTATGTTTTTTGTGCTTTTTGCTACAAAGCCCAGACATAAAATTCTTTAACATTAATCACCTATCACCAATTCATCCATCTGTTAGTCCATAAATTAGGATTGTTTAGGATTACTGCTACAATATTACAAAGACTTATTTATCATATGTCCCTTCAAACCCTGCTGGGCACTTTGCTAATTATGATGGAGCACAAGGAGTACAGTTGTATAGATTTTAAATATCGAAAAATTAGGGAGAAAAACAAATAGATTGAGGCACACAGAGACAAACAATTAGAAACAGAGACTACAGAAATCAGTCACAAGAGGGGGTAAGATTGCAAAAAGTAACACACAGAGGACAGGCGGGCAGGGTGAGCAAAGAGAGAAACTAGTCTTACCCAGTATGTTCTCATGTCTCATTAGGACGGTCTGGTAGATTTCAGTCTCTCTGAACCAACTGGCCTCCTCAGTGGTGAAAAAAACTTTAACAGCCACTCGTTCTCCCCTCCACCTGCCCATCCACACCTCTCCATACCTCCCCTTGCCGATCTGCTTCACCATCTGAATCTGCTTGGCTATCGTTCTCTGGACCTAAGGAGGAGCACAAGGCGGGAAATATTTCGATACGGTTTAGCATTACATGACAGCATCACTACATTCTAGCCTGTGCTTAAAATAAAAAAAAATTAAGGGTTAGCGATCCTCAGATGGATGTATGAGCCAGCAAAATGAGGAGGTGTTTTTTATTTCCTAACACACTAGCTTTCACAAATAGAAAATGCAATAAAGATATATAAACATCTTGCAGGTATGAAATTCACAATCTATCCCTTATCTCACCACATGTGCAAAAACTTAACCAGTTAGGATGGCATGGGCACTGATGAGGGCATAGAGTGGATCCATGGAACATCTTTTTGATATAACAGGTGTTTTGACTGCAATATGGGTAACTCACCAATAGAGGGAGCCCTGAGCCAGAGCCAGAGCTTTGTGACTGCTCTATCAGGTCCTTCAGAGATTCTCCAGGGGGAATGTAGGTCTCATCCTGCTCCAGACCAATACTGTACCGAGGACGAGACTCCTGACGCTTATACCTGCAAAACAGCATTATTCAGCACACGTCCTTATAAAACTACCATTATATTTTTACAAGAAGCACGCACTGTATATTATAATATGTATTATAAATGGAAGAAAAGAGGTCCCCAGAGAGCAGTGCTGTAAAACCTACAAAGTGTGTGAAGGAGTATCTGTTTGTGTTTGACTGTTCAATAGTTTGGTGTAATTACCTGAAGTAGCAGAAGACAATAATGACAGCCAATATAATGCTGCAAATAGAGACTGAGATCAACAAGGCCATGTGGTGGATCTTTCCATCTACATAGACTAGAGAGGGGTAGGTAAAGAGGTGAAAAATGGGGAGGCGGGTAGGTAGAGAACAAAAGACAGACATGTCAGGAAAGTAAAAAAAAAAAAGCATGAGTCACATGTTATCCACAATAATGTGATGAATTTGCAACAACTGGACAAGAAAAATGCACGGTATCATTTTTTGCTCAAGAAACTTAACCTGAAACAAAGAAAGGTGATGTCCGTACGGATCTCTGATGTCCGTAATAGGAAAAAAAAAAGAGCATGGGGAGGAAACGCATAAAATTATACCAAGAAATCAGTCATCCTTACAAGTCACTTGAACAAACTGGTGTACAGTAAATCAAGTACAAATCATATTTCACTCATCAATTTTTCATTTTCTTCTGGCACATACTTTTCCCTCAAGGCCCAAGTCAACAGCGAGAGGAAGCCCTCAGCCTAGTCGATGAATTCTCTTCCTGATCCCCTATGATAGGGTTTCAGATTGATGACTCTGCCCTCAGTCTCTGCTGGGGCTTGTGATTTCCCTGGGAATCTAGGCTTACTGTCTCTCAAATACACAAAAAGGCTCTCACACTCACACATAGAGTATAGTGTTGTACACAGTTGAGACCTCAGTACTCTCTTGACGCCCAGTGGCTTTGCCGAGCTCTATGCAGGACATTTTGACAGTAACTCCCGCTGTCTCCCCCACTTCAGAGGTCTTTGACTCTCTGACATTGTCATGATATCTCTATCTCTGAATCCTGTGTGCTGTAACACCATCGGTCACAGTTCTTGGCCCTGTCCATATCACTGTCACTGCCACACTGTCACTGCCACCTGCCAACTAGAGAACAAGTGGCTCTGTAAAGTCTTGGTTGTGTTTCATGGGCGAGAAAGAGTTGTGGAGGGATGAGAGTAGATGGATAAACTTACGAGGTGGTTTGAGCGGTGGCAGTGTAGGATGCAGGTTTTTGTTACAGTAATCTTGGTCTGTACAGCACTCTAGTGATCTCCTTTGACGTGAGCTCCCTGTGTCCTATAAGACAGAGATATGCATTATGTTTCTCATGTTTATTCCTTAGTGCTAAATGAATTAACTGATTAGTTGTTTGGCAGAGATAATCATTGATTTATAAAGTATAATATTAAAATGCACAAACATTTGCTAGTTCCACTTTTTCTTTTACCTGCTTGATGTCATAGTATATTTAAAATCTTCAGATTTTAGATCATTGATCAAACAAAACAGAAATCTCAAAGATCTTACCTTGGGTTCTAGGAAAATGTCATGTACATTTTCCATTATTGTTGAATTAATTAATCAGCAATGAAAATAATTGTTGTTTATTTCATTACCATCTAAATCAGGTTGTTAAAAACAACATTTTGTAAAGCTCTGAGATAGAAGATACAAAGGAAATGGTTGCAAAAGGGACAGGTCATGCAGATTGTTAGAGTCATCTACTCACCCTACACTGGAACTCTGAGCCAACAAGCCCCAGGCAACCTGCAGTCTGGACCGGTACCCCTCCCTCCTCCTCCACCATGGTAAAACAGTAACCATCAGTCCTGGAAAACAAGGCTTAGCTAAAGTAAGTACAACCTATGCCATTATTTTATCATTTAATTTATCATTTTGTACTGAACAGCTGTTGTATTGCACTTGTGCTATATATATATTTCTTTTGTATTTCCTCTCCTTACCTGCATGTGTTATTGGTTGAATCTTCTGGACAGTGGTGATAGCAGTGACACCACAGTAGTCTTTGGGAGGACGAAGCAGGAGCTGTGCTGCCACTAGTCTCCTTCCCACTCTCCACTGCCTCCTTACTGGATGCTCTTAGCAGCATACTGTCCAATATGTTGCCTATAAAACAGACAGAATGAGATAACAGGAGAAATTTAGCTAGAAGAGAGACAGAAACAAAATGTTGAAATCACAGACTTAAATCATACATAATTATTATTATTATTATTATTTTTTTTTTTTTACAGAGGACAGAGTACAGTGCCAACACTGCCAGGGGCAAGGGCTGCATCATTAGAGTCATCAAAGAACCGATAATATCTGCAATATAAAAAATAAAAAAAATACATCTGCAAGTATTTGCAGTAACACAGCCAGACCTAGGTGTTTCATTATCTGTTTCATTAGCTTGAGTTAAAAAAAGATATTAAGATTGACACAGGAGATATAGCAAATATTTAATATTCAGTGGAACATGTTCCAAAATCCTGAACTTGTCCAGGCAGAAATTTCAAGTTGTGCTGATTGATTGATCTACTAGATACCCATATAGCCAACATACCTTTTGCAATAAGGTGATGTTACACTGTCAATACGCCACTCTGTTGACCCTCTTTGCTCTGATTCGCTGCTTATTTGCAACCACTGTTGTTACACTAAAAACATTTGCTCCTACCACTTACTACCCCTCTAGCATGTTTGTTGTGAGGCAGTGTTTCAGCTTTGTTCTGTCAGTGTTTGTCCAAATGAGGTTGTGAGGCTACTGATCTCTCACAGATCTCCTTTTAGATCGTAAATTTACTGTGTTTTTTGGCACGTGTGTTATGATGGATTGATGCTGTAGTTCATGTGATTGTACTACTGTAATACTGCTTCTGTTGTTCATGGTGCGCTTTATGAGCCCAAACACCGTTAGCATGGACCTGCAGGGTTGTAAGTTCCCGTGGGGGAGAAGTCTAACATCTTTATTCCCCAGTCTCTGCTGTGCCGGTGTATACTTGCAGGGAGTGACGGTGTCAGAGCCAAAATGGCAAATATCTGCTCTGTACTTACATCATAAATCCATTCCACGTGAGCTGGCTGACTGAACTTAAACATAATTTAATTTACTGCAGTGAAACGGACAATGAATCTATTGAATTCAAAATATATATATCTAAATAAATAAAATGGATGAGAAACTTTTCTATACAAGCAATGTATAGAAAAAAGAAAACCAAACTGAGCTCAAACACCTGATACGGTGAAATGTGTTCACACACAGCAGATGTTTTTTAACTCTTACAACTGATACAGCTCCCAAGACCTAGAACGAAGCTCTATTCCCCTGTTATCCGATTTCAAAAGGGCACCTGTTTGTCACTTGAGTAAAAAAAAAGGATAACGGAAGTGTCTTTCCTTCATGGCTTTTAAGATTTTCATTCATTCCAGCATGATCATTGAGACCAGATGCCTAACAGCTGCAAGCGGAGATCGCCCAAAATAAGCATGAGTCCTTCCTCTATGAAAAAAAAACTACTAGCAGATACAGAATCTGTTCCCCTACTCCTCTTTCAACCTCTTGTTCCCAAGTTCAGATTTCTTTTTAAGCAGATGCTTCTCACAAAGTCTGAGAATCAATAAACACATAGTATGTGTGAAAGGGCACACTCACAATGTATGAACAAATCATGTACTGTTATTTCTCACCACAACTGTCCTCATAGTGAAACAGTGACATACAGTGAAGCATACGTGATTGAGATAACCTTATTAGAAATTCAAAGCAAAAAATCTTTTTTTTATAGTTTTCATATAGGTCAGAAAATACTGTACATTTTTCAAGCTATGAAAAAAAAGACTAATTGCTCACTCTTGCAGAAATGGATGTGTGATGAATGGTCAACCAAGCCAACACTGGCTGTGTACGACTGCCCACTTCTTATGGATTTTAGTTTATCTTGTTGAGGGATTTAAAGCTATATAGTCCTCAAGTGCAACATGAGAATAAAGGCTTTTGGAGTATTATGGTCTTCATGAAAAATGTGTAAAGCATAAAAGCCAACATATCTCATATGTCATGATGGTGGGTCTTGCTTATCTACAATAAAAAGCTTATCTATCCACACAACGAGTAGGCTAGTCATAGCTAAGTACACTTTGTGGCTAATGTGACCCAGCAGTAGCACGGCAGTGTGACCACTTTCCAACTGTCTACAGCTGAGATATTTTCTGGTGTTTTTAAAATCACCTGTGTTTTTGCACCCTTAACTCATGTGGTCAACCAAAGTCAACTTTCCTGGACGTATAAGCACAATTACTTTAAATAAGGGACTGACCTACTGTACATCCAAAGTCAAAATGCATAATTTTTTTGGTATATTAAAATTGATTGTGAACCCTGAGAAATTACAGCCGGATCATTCACTGGTCTGAAATCCCCATTTAAAATCAAATGAATCAAAGAACTTTTTAAATGACAAGGTGCTGCCTCATGAAACATTGTTGTTTATCTGCATTTTTTTTTTTATAGGATATTTCATTTTGGAATACATCCTAAAAACTAACTAGCAAGGACAAACCTTTTTCCAGTGGCACTTCAAGAGGGGTGTGGCTAAAGAATGGCAAGACGCATTTCATATTCAAATGTGCAAACCAATGAAAAGTCCTCCAGTGAGCACCACTGTGAATGGAAACTCACACAGTCTTAAGTGACCATATAGCAATGAGGTTCTGTTAGCGTGCTCATTGGATAGGAAGATAATAATCTATAAAGAGCCTTACCTGTGAAAAACAAATTGGATTAGATGAACACTTGCAAATGTGCTTTATAGTTTCAGTACAGTTATATAAGCTGTCCATCAGACATAAGATAATGGGTGGTATCTTCTCTTTCATCTGAGCTCAGCTGTCTTTCACAAAACATCAAAGAACTTCCTCTGGGGATAAATGCTTAAAGCTCTCTAAAAGACACACACATGCATGCATTAATACACACATAAGCCAGAAATGTATGCACATGCACACACGTGCTTTAAAAATGTCTCTTTCTTCCTTGATATATTTCAATAATGTCACTAATATTTTATGTGCTTTGTTGTCAGTGTGTTGCACTTGTGCTTTATGGCCTTCATGAATCAGTATTCACAAAAAGTTGCCAAACTTAAAGTGATATTGACTTAAGAAACTCAGGCTCAAAGAAAGTAAATTCACAGCTAATGCCATTGGAAAGATTAAAAAGCTGTAGCTTGCCAATTATATTCTGATGTGAGGCTTTGATTTTCTACTTTGTGTTACAATCCAGGAGCGAATTGCTGTTGAATGGATGAGGTGGTGGGGCTCATTCATCTCATTCATGGTGACAGTGATAAATATGACTATGTGCCGACTAGTAAGAAGCATACTGATGTGAGCTGACATAGATTTTTTTTTGCTCCAAGTTTGTCAGTGCTCGTGCCAAGTCCCAAGTCCCATTTTGTTTTCCTTTCTTTCATCAATAAGGAAGGGTGTGTGACATTCAACAGAAAACATAACATAAATAAATGAAACAAAAGATAATAAAACAAGAATTCACTACAGTAGGTTCATAATAAACAAGTTTCATTTGCACAAGGGAAACTATCAGTCAAAAATAACCTGAGCATTTTTTTTCAGACTATTATAGTCACTTGTCATCGAGCATTTCCCTTTCTAAATGTCTCTCTTGTACACACTGATAATGTGTTGACAATACCGCGAGAGAGGGACGGTGGGGTTTAAAGGGGTCACATTAACAACTGACCGATTTGAGAGAAAGGGAGCGAGGAAGAGTAGGAGGGGGAGAAGAACAGGGGATTAACAAATGAGAAGTGACAGAACTGCGGGGAACTGGTGGGTAGTTTAGCAGCACACAGAGGGGACAGAGCAGAGACCACTGGCCTTTTCCACCCTCTCTCTCACTCAGTTCCCCCTCCCTCCCGTCACTTACTCCATCCTACTCCCTAATGCTCACTCACTTTGTGTTTCACTTGTTGCCGACTTCTCTCTCTCCAGCTTCTTTCTTCATTCTATATCTGTTTCTCAGGCCCTTCTCTCTCTTTCCCGCATGTACCTTTTCAATTAACTGACATTCACAGCCTTTTCTTCCTCTATTCAAAGCTACTCATGTCCTTTCTTCTTTTTTTTTTGCTTTGTTCTCCAACCTCACAACCTCCCAATCTTCCTTTACCCTGCCCTTTTTTCTCTTCTCATCTTCCACTTTCTTTGCCCCGTCTTCCCTATGTGAGTCCAGAGGATTGTCATGTGAGGTGCTGCTGTGCTGTTGACAAAACACAGCCTTTCACATCCATCCTGCACCTGGGATTGCTGGCTGCTGCGCTTTCTCTCTCTCTCTCTGTGCGTGCGTGCGTGCGTGCGTGCGTGCGTGCGTGTGTGTGTGCGTGCGTGAGAAAAGACAGGGAGAGAAGCAAAATGAAAGAAAAGTCTCAACCCGTGGAAAATGTTGTTAAATTAATAAATGCTCCTTGCACAAAACCTAACTGGAGGCTTAGGTGAAACTACTAACCCAATACTTACTGAATTATCTGATTTAAACAAGATACTATTACAGGAATCCCGGTAAAAAATGCATTTCATAAGTAAGTGTTATTTGCTGGCAGCTATAATGCTCTATAGTATTTGTGTGAATCTGTGTTTTTTCAAAGTCACAGTCACATTAAAAAGAGTGAGCATTATTTGTGTCTTTTCAGTACGTTGAAATACCTCATCGTTGACCATATTTTTCTGACACTTTATGATATATCATCGAGGAAATTGCATTATCCGAACACTAACACTGCCTGCCTAACAGCTCCTGACTTTGGAAATATCATGTCTATCTCTATCTAATAATCATGATCCAGCTCCCTTCAGCTTAGTTTTTGTTCTTGATTTTCTCGGTTTTTGTTGTCTTTGTCTTCTGTCTCTGACTGCGAAACACTTTCGATACAGAGACTGTAGATTTTTCCACTAGTCCTGTGGTAATGAGCAGTTTTTTTTATGAGCCTGTCCCATCTGTCTGTGGGAGAGAGAGTGACCACTGTAAAAAATTCTGCTGCTATTTTTTCTATAGCAAATACATAGATTCTGGCTGGTGAGAAAACTGTACACATTGTCATAAACTG